TATTATGTATTGTTGTCACAATTCTAAGGTACATAAATACAATAATTCTCCATTTTGCTACCTAGATACAAGCCAACACACAAATTTGAGATGTAATAACTAAAAGTTGGTTGAGTGGCAGAGGGGTATGGTTCAATTGGTTGAGCTTTTTCATCTCCAACCATGTGAGTAGAGATTTGAAACCCTTAGACACCCAATGAATATGGGTTGGTTAAGTGTTGTTTCCGTTATTATATTGATAAAAAATGCTGTAACGTTGAATTTTAATAGCATATATATGTATTTTCTCTATAATTAAAAAAAGCATATATATGTATTAGTTCCTTATTTAACTTTTCAATTGGTGTCTAATCTACAGACCTATATAGAAAAATAAGTTCCAAACCCAATTTATCATAATAGGAAATAATACATGGACATGGAACTGGATTGTTCATGACATAATTTGGGCTGGGCCATATTCAGCTCATTATTAGGCGAATGAAGAGATTTTTATAGGCTGGCTGGGATAGCCTGAGACTCACATCGAATGTGTGACATTGACAAGAACAACAACAATGTTAGTATGCATGCATGGTTGAGCTTGAGCTTGAGACTTGAGAATGGCAATGGCTTGGCTACCTTGTACAACTAAGCCCAATTATTTAAGATGCTTTAATCTAGCTTCATGCAAAAGTTCAAATAGCTTTCATTAAAAAATATAAATATATTCAAATAGCTCTTGGGAAAGATTATATATATATGGTCGTTCTGAGACCGCTTGTTAATGGATGAGGAGGTGATGCCAAGTTGCACAAGTAACAGCAACCGATTTGGACCTACTAAAAAGACATGAAGCTAGCTATTAATTTGCCTTGTGCCTTGTGCCTTGTGCCTTGTGGATGACAAAGATGACGCTTTCTGGGACCATGGCTTTGGAATTTAGATAGTAAGTATTGGATTTGGATTTGATGGAATATAAAGTATTTCATAAATATCTCCATGAAGGCGTAACCCCAGCGAGCGAGCGAGCATTGTAAAAGAGGCACTTGTTACTTATTAGTGATATATAGGTAGTAAACATCAAAACTTGTCAAGGAAAGTGCAGTCAATTCAATTCCCAGAACTTGTTTTCACTGTTGTTACTACAGGAAGATAGCATAGGCTTATCATTTTTTAGGAGAAAGACTTCCATGAAACGGGAATAGTATTACTTTGCTTGCTATTCCCAACCAATAACGCTATAACACACGTAACAGAGCATTATTAGCCGGAATAGTAAAATATTGTTATCCTAGTTGTAACTTAGTTTTTCTCCTTTCTTCAGAGACCAAAATTACATAAAAAAAATATCTTCTAGGCAAGTCATAGTCTGGCAGGATGTGAATTATTGGATGACCTTCTTCCTTATGATTGTAACACGTCTGGTGGGCTGAAGATTCAAACTTAGCCACTCTGTCTGAACTTTCTAGAAGAATATTGAAGGATGACTGTATATGTCATTTCCTCGTTCCCTACTTCCAATTCCAACCTAATTAATCATTATTTAGAGTCTTTAACGAAAAGGGATCACCTGGTTAAAGCATTGGTTTGTTAATTAATTTGCGCATGTGCCAAACCTAGAGGAGGAGGAGGAGGGGGAGGAGAGGACAAGGAGCAGTTAGTTATTTTCATGTCAATAGTTTACTATATAATGTATGGATTTGGGGTCTGGGGTTTTAATTTAATTTAATTTAATTTATTCCCCTTTCAGAAACTAGAAACACTAATAATTCATGTATCTATCTAGCTAATCCGACGGCACAAGTAACCCTACAGGCTACAGGCTATATATACATAGATTATCATTCATTTGGGTTTGTGTGTATCATTGTATCAATATCTTGAGTGAGTGAGGCCCCAAACAAACAGAGCACTTTGGTTGATTATAGGCTTATAATTAAGTTGTAGCAATTAATGGAGGGCGAGGGCGAACATATGAAGAACAGAGAGAACAAAATTGTGGTGGCAGTAGATGAGAGTGAAGAAAGCATGCATGCACTGTCCTGGTGTCTGGGAAACCTCTCTTCTTCTGAAAACACCAGCAACACTCTTGTTCTTCTCTATGTGAAACCACCGCCAGTCCGTTCCACTTTCGATGCTGCAGGTAATTAATTGGCAACAAGCTATTTAGATTTTATTTTGGCTTGGAACCATCACAGCAGATATGTGATGTGTGATATGATGATGATGATGATCGTGTTTGTTAATGAACTAATTTGGAGATGGTGTACTTGATTTGACAGGATATATGTTTTCCAGCGATGTAGTTGCAACCATGGAAAAATACGGCACTGACATGGTCAATTCAGTGATGCAAAGAGCCGAAGCTGTCTACAGAAATTTCCACACCAATGTATAGATTTATTTATTTTTGTTCCTGTAAAAGTACAAGTGATTGTGTTTAATTTGAAATTAGTATTAGTATTACAAGTTGTAATTAAGTTGATGTGGTGATGCAGGCACATGTGCATATTGAGAGAATGGTAGGGAGGGGAGATCCAAAGGATGTGATATGTAATACGGTTGAGAAACTTAGAGCTGATACCTTGGTCATGGGAAGCCACGGTTATGGTTTCCTTAAGAGGTGAGCTGCTAGTACTATCACTGCCGAATGCCGATATAATTCAATTGCAATGGGAATTTGATTGATTATTATGATTTATGAATTATCTATCTGTAATTAATCCTTCTGCAGGACTCTTGTTGGAAGTGTAAGTGATTATTGTGCCAAACACGTAGAGTGTCCGGTGGTGATTGTGAAGCATCCTGCCAGTGCCTGACCAGTGACAACAAATAAATGATAATCATCAGTTTCTGTTCTATTCTTATATCAAATCAAATGAAGAGATGGCGTTGGAGAATCCTGATTCCTGGTCTGCCTTGTGTAATTATAAAAATAAGATTTATGTTCTGCCTGTGTATACATATATCGATTGGTTACAATTAAGTTAATTACCTCTCATTGCCTGCCAAATTGCCAATGACAAGTTAAGCTCTGTCCCTGTGAATACTAAATATATATGATATGACATCATCTATCTATGAGCTATATATGATCAGATTCAATTCAAACTCTATGCCCTGCCCAGTGCCCAGTGCCCAGTGCCCAGTATTTAGGAAGGCAGGAAGCAAGGAAACAATATCAAAGTCCCAGACAGAAGACACACACACACACATTTAAATTTGAAGCTCCCATTCCCAGTAATACAGTATGTCCCAATATATAATATTTGCATTCCCCTTGGGCTTGGCTGACTTGACTTCCACAAGACAAACCAATTCATGCATAATCAACTCTCAGTGAAGGACTATGATCGCCTTCCAGCTGCTAATTCTCACATCACATCAAGCTCCCTCCACAACCACAGTTGTACCGGAACGAAATGCCTATGAATCCGTTGATTAGATGATAGACAGATGAATGAAATATTATTGGAATGGAGCTACATAGAGTAAAGGCTTTTTATCACAAAACGTCCCTCACGTTTGCGAAACTATCAGATTGCATCCTTAAAGTTTTTTTGTATCACTCATGGTCCCTAACGTTAATATAGGTGCTCTTAAATAGTCCATCCGTCAAAAAAACTATTAAATCCAAAGATATAATTGTAAAATCAATTTAATTATAAAAAATATATATAAATTTCTCTCTCCCCTCTTTCTTTTCTATTTCCTTTCCTTCTCTCTTCTCTCTCTTTCTTCCTCTCCCCGAGTTCAGTCTTCTCTCTTCTCTTTCTTTCATCAACTATCAAAGTTGAAAGTTGAAAAGACTCTCACAGGCCGTTAAATATATATATATATATATATATATTGCTGTATTTATATAAGAGAGAGGAGGCATTTCATTCGCAACTCTGCATCCAATTATTAAAATAAAATATTCAAGAATCTCAAGAATCTCTCCCTCCCTACCAGAAGAAGAAGAAGAATCAATTAATTTCAGAGATAAGAATTTGTTCAAGAAGAATTAATGGTTGAATGCAGTGACCAGAACATTAAGAACCCACAACCAGAAGAAGAAGAAGAAGAAGAAGAATACGCAGCGGTGGTTGGCAAACACTTGTCCATGCTCTGCCTTGACAACAGCAGTATCTTCAAATCTCCCAATTCCAGTCCCAAGCCCAGGAGAACATTGAAAAGGCGATCCCCGTCCCAATCCCCACCAATATCCCAACCCAACCCCAAGAAAGAGAAGCTTGATCTCCCTCCTAATCCTCTTCTTCGCCGCTGTAGTTCTGAACTCGGGGAGAGGAAGAAAGAGGAAGAGAGAGAGAGAAGGAAAGAAAATAGAAAAGAAAGAGGGGAGAGAGAAATTTATATATATATATATATATATATAATAATATTTTGAATTGATTTTACGATTATATCCTTGAATTTAATAGTTTTTTTGACAGAGGAATTATTTAAGAGCACCTATATTAACGTTAGGGACCATGAGTGATAAAAAAAACTTTAAGGATGCAATCTGATAGTTTCGCAAACGTGAGGGACGTTTTGTGATAAAAAGCCTAGAGTAAAAAGAAGTACCAAAAATGTTTGTTTTCTTTGGGCTTAGCCTGCCGTTTCACCACCGAAAGAAAAAAAGAAACTAGTACCAAGTTCAGAGCGTCCCAAACAAATTCATGAAACAAGAAGCATTTTATTCATATATTATATAATGGAGGTGTCAAAAACCTAAACGGTGGAGAATTCCTTCTTGTTGTTATCATCATCCCCACACCACACAGGAAGGAAGACTGAAGAAAAGTGGTGAAGTGAAGCCTCAAGAATTCCTTGTTTGGTTCGCCGAAAGTGGGATGAACCCTCTTCCATAACTTATGAGTTCGCAACAAGCAAACGGCGTCGTAAGCCGCCATCAACGAGCAAAACTAAAGAGAACGTGTTAAAAAGAGTTACAGCAAGCAACACGTATTTTAATATTGTAATTAATTATTTTGACAATAGTCCGAGACTTAAGTTACCAGTTACCACAAACTTTACCAGAAAATTGCGTGCGTTGCTGTCTGCGTCTCTCTCTCTCATAATTCGCTCGTAATTTGGATACTTACTACTTTATTATATTCCCATGTTTGAGTTAGGGATCGTAGACTCATGAACTCTCTTCGGAAGCCTTGAACGGCAGGATCCGATAAGGCTTCGATTGTCGTGGATCCGAGCTCGACCCGATCCATTTGGTTCCGATCCGCGTGAGAATTAATTGATTGAGCAGCACCGGCCAGCCTCTGACTCTCTGAGCATGTTTCTGTTCGACTGGTTCTACGGTGTGCTGGCCTCCCTGGGTCTCTGGCAGAAAGAGGCCAAGATCTTGTTCCTTGGCCTCGATAATGCCGGCAAGACCACCTTGCTTCACATGTTGAAAGACGAGGTTCCTTCCTTGGCCCCCTTTTCTCCTTTAAATTCTCATTTTATGCTTTAATTTTCCTATTTCGGATTAGATTATTTATTGTAAATAGAATTGCCTCGGAAAGAGAATTGAGCAGCTAGATTTACAATTACGAGATCTTTAGTTTTCTCTTCTCCCCAAAAACAGTACCAAACACACAGCACAAAAATTATACATCACTTAATCACAGCCGCCCGCACAAGCAATACATCAACAACAAAGAGCGCAGGCAGCTCACAACAAGATTCAAATTTATGCCCAAAACTAGAGCAATCAGTCAAATATTAGATTATCCACGGTGGTATTTTCATTTCATGTGTGCTGCTAGACTGATAGGCTGCTAGTGTAGTGTGATTTGTTCGAATATAAATATTAGGTTGTTTGCAAATGAATTGCTCTTCTTCTGTGTGGTAAGTTTACAATTTGAGTATTGTTGGTTGTACTGGTTTCCAGAGACTGGTACAGCATCAGCCTACGCAGTATCCAACATCAGAGGAGTTAAGCATTGGGAAAATCAAGTTCAAAGCCTTTGATTTGGGAGGTCATCAGATTGCTCGCAGGGTCTGGAGAGATTACTATGCAAAGGTTAGATATATTATTTCTCTATTGTCATGTCTCTGCAGCGTTATTTTGCAATGTCTCTCTCTTGTGTCAACTTAAACCTGCTTGCAATAGGTCTTTTTTACTGGTCAGAAATCTGGTGAAGAAAGCTTCGTCCTTGCCATCATTTAGAATTTCATAGTTTAATCCATGTTGGTACTCGGTTCTTTCTCGTCCTGGTCGAGCCTTCAACTTCTCTGCTTGCTTGGTACAACCAATTTATGCATTTTTCTATAACTGATTGAAGCATCGAATATTTTGCATGGACACAAGTGTTTGTGTTGCATCTTTAATGCTCTGCATCTCAGTTGTAGAACCTTGTACCTCTGGTCTGTGATAGATGTTTAAGTTTGAAATTACTTTACTCCTTTTGTGTTGTGCTTGGACTTTCATCAGCTAGGAAAAGGTTCCAACATGGGTTATAGTTATACATACATGGTTTGCTTTTTATAGGTAGATGCTGTGGTGTACCTTGTGGATGCCTATGACAAGGAGCGGTTTGCTGAATCAAAAAAGGAACTTGATGCACTCCTTTCTGATGAAGCTCTTGCCAATGTCCCTTTTCTAATTCTAGGGAACAAGATTGACATACCATATGCTGCCTCAGAGGATGAGTTGCGATACCACCTTGGGCTGACCAACTTCACCACTGGCAAGGGCAAGGTAAACCTAACAGACTCAAATGTCCGTCCATTAGAAGTATTTATGTGCAGCATTGTACGGAAAATGGGGTACGGTGATGGTTTCAAATGGCTCTCTCAATACATCAAGTAGGAGGATGGTCGACAACACGTACTACAGCCCCTTGAACTATCACAACCTGTGGCACCTTACCTCAAAATTTTATTCAGTCTTGTTTTATTTAGGCTCTTTAATTGGATCTTTTATTGTCTTCGGATTTGTGTGGAAGGAAATATCAATGCCACTGCTTTGTAAAAAAATTTATTTGTGGCCTCAATCCTTCTCTGGCGTATTTCTATTGTTTTGGAGCAAGGAAATAGTACTTTGTCTGGAATGACTTGTTTCATCTTCTAATGATAGGAAGTGTTTAAGAGATAAGCATTCTTGCAAATATGTTTATAAAAAATTCATTACTGATCGCTGCCTAGAAGAATTTATTTGCTGGTCTGGTCGTCAATGTCAATCAGAAAAGAAACGAAAGATACTCACCACTGCTTGGCATTTTCTTGGTAATTGCTCATCCTTTTTTTGCAAAGATCCCAACTTATAAGAGTAATCTGAAAGTTTCTAATAATTACAATTAGGAAAAGGAGCTTTCTTTTGAACTTGAGCTCGATATTTCATTACGATTTAGGCTTCAGTCATCGCAGGTATGTTAATAATTTAAAGAAATTTAGTTAACAACTTAACCTAGTTATGGTTGAACCGTTCCTTGACCTCTGGGCTCTACTAAATAAATATATGTGGCCTACAAGAATTGGCAGACTTGAGCTGGGTGGGTACCTCAAACATTTGTGACCGCAGATATAATCAAACCCAGCAGAGTCTTGAAGCAAGCTTTAGCAATGTATTATCTATGTCCTTGTCTCTCCATGAATTAGGACTAACCCCACCCCAGACCCAACGACCCCATCCAATTGTTAATTTGTATTGGTTAGTTAAGTGTTTGTATATATTAGTTACCAAGTCCACCATGTATCCGTCACCAAGATGGAGCTGGTTAACCAACATGTCCTACAAAGCCTAAGACTCCCAGTTCCACGCGTATACCTTGCTACTAATGATATATAAAACGCCACAAAACAAAAGATTTTCTTCAACTGATCATCAAAAAATCCTATGCACCTCGTGTTCTCTCTCTCTCTCTGCCTTCTAAGAGTAGTTTGAATTAGTTATCTTTTGAGCTTGAGCCCTTAATTATAATTATAATTCATGGGTAATTCCATCTCGCACAAGCAATTACATGCCAGTGCCACCGGAAAAGTGATATTGTCGGATGGGTCGGTGCATCAGTTCAACAAGCCCCTAACAGTTGCTGAGCTCATGCTAGAGCACCCACAACAAGTGGTTGTCGAATTCGGAGCGGCTGTCTCTGAAAAAAGGCCAACCCCATTGCCTGCAGATATGGAGCTAGACAAGAAAAAGGTTTACTTAATGCTGCCAATGAAGCAAGGGAAACCAGTCTCTTTGTCATCACAAGAGATTCATGGTGTTGTTTTAAGTGCAAATTTGGTTTTACGATCAAGGTCACTATTGTCATCTTCAAGGTTTTTACCTTTCCTTGCTAGGATATGCCCAGCAGGCCATCCTGGACAAGCTTGTGCTCTGCCAAACAAGGAATCTTGTGCGGAGAGGATGTCGAATTCGAAGTACATGCCACAGTTTGATCTTCCGGAAGATTTGGACGCGAGACCAGAATATTTGAGCAGGCAGTTTTCAGGCAAGGGTACTTGGAAACCAAATTTGGATACCATTAAGGAGAAGAAGGTTGACAAGAAGAAATCTCATTGGTTATTTTGAACTAATAAGAAAGATCCATTTTAGTGATGGAAGTATTTCGATTTCGACTATGCTGCATCTGCATCTGCATGGCAGGCCTTGTGCGGAAATTAATTAAGAATGTTGTTGAAGTAAGTATACATATATAAAAGATGAATTGAATGTGATTAATCATTAATTAGAGCTAATTGTAAGAGATAATGGCTGTATGAGATGGTGTAATCTGTTCAACTAGTGTTGTTGTTTTGTGTGTCATTTATGAGAGTATTTTGATGAAGGGTCTTGCTGCTGTTAATATTTCATCACAGCACAGCACAGCACAGCAGGAGGGGGAGGAGTTTTGAAAACAGAGATAGAACAAAATCGTCTAGAGCTCACCCTCACATAATAATTAATCTATTTCTTTTCTTCTTCTTATTCAACAAACTTTTCCCAATTCTCCTGTTACTTCCACGGTTGATTAACCTCACCCACCCAACTAATTTGTTTGTTTCTGTTCAGAGCTCTAATCACACAATTCATAATTAGGTACACACACACACACGCACTCACTACATCTTAATTTAATTAGCATCCATGATTACTATTGCCTATGGGTCATCAGTGCAAATTAAGTTAACTAACAACTAGTCTGCCATTATCTTTCTCTTTCTCAACCCGGCCCCCCTCCTATTAATTACTTGTTATCTTTCTCTCCCGCTTTCTGTTGGACCCCATTTTGAAATTCCAGCTTAGTAGTTAATCACAAACAACTTTGGCCTCCGTACGTACGTTGACCAAGTGAAACCTGATCTCAAGCAGCGCTCATGACACCATAACAACAACTTTGGTCAAGAAAACATTAATTCCTGCCTGCCTGCATTGCAATTTGCATCTGCATGGCTACTCTACTGTATGTACTGTGCTAGCTAGCCTAGTGCGGGTTCAAATAAAAAAACTGGTGGCCAATCGATATCAGAGCGGAAAATCCCTGTATATATACTGTTATTTGAGGCGGTGCATGATCATGATTTTAATGTTACTCTATTCTATCATTTATTGTTATGGGAAAATGAATATGAAATTGATAATATATGCCTAAATAAAAAATAAAAAAACTGTGTCTGGACTCTGAGAAAGATAGAAGTGGGAAAAGTGCTTGAAATTAAAGGAGAAACTTAGATCAGGTCCAGTTGTTGGGCATCTTCCCAAGACAGAAGCTTTTCAATACCTATATCCATATTATATGTTATGGTACCACTACCACTAAAAAGACTAGACACAAGTTGCTGTGTTCCTTCTTTTCCCCATGCCACCATGACCCAACAACTATATCTACAAAATGCCTGCACCAACAGAATATAAAAGTCCAGGACGCCCATACAATGTTAGCCGAATTCTGCTTTCTTCTTTTTGTTTTTCTCTTTAGAAAAACAAAAACAATGCATTCTTTTTCTTCTTGTTTTTTTGTTAACAATACAATGCTTTCTTTTTCTATTTGTTTTATTTGGTGACAGTATTTAATTTAAGAAATTCCTTTTAATTGCTTTGTTCTTGCTGATGCAATGCAATCATGAATCATACATAGAAAAGTAACCTCCCTTGGAAGCAAAGCCCCTTGCTTTATATTATCATTTCCATTAGTAAGGGCTTTTCTTGGTTTACTTGCCATACTATGATTATGAAATGATGATGAGAAAGTCTTAAAATTACTTTGTTTATTTTTATTTTTAAGCAAGATTTTCTCTCCCTTGTTACACCATCTATCATCCCATCCCATGCTTGAGAAGCAAGATAGAATTGAAGAAATATTATGCTAGTGGTAGTGGAAGAGTACTGGTATAGCTAGTCTGGTGGTTACATCATATGTGTAGAAAATTAATCTACAAGATACAATTAAGCAATTAGATTATCTAACTTCACCCGTTACTCTTACAATTTCTCTATGCGTGGGACCCGAGCCGACATCTCTTGGGAAGTGAACGACCAATGGTTATCCATTTTTATGAGCTAATGTACGTCTGCCCATGAGTGCATATATCGGATGGCCTACATAAACCTACTCTTCTGATCTTCTCAATTTATTTATTTGACTTACTTGCAAGTTACAATGGCAGCTGGTAAATTCAATTATGAATTTTGCTCTCATAAGTTATCAACTGGCCACCAACTTATATGATATGATATTATTCCCCACCGCCCGCGGGCGCACACACACACACACACTGCTTTTCTCTAAGAAAGTTGAAAAAACATTATGAGTATATAACATCATTCATCAACATCCATCCAATATTCCATACCACCACCATACTTGCGTGCACTGCTGTAGCACGCGTATGGCTATATATACCGCATGACTTTTGCCTCCCCTCCCACTCCCAGTCCCAGTCCCAGATGAGAGCACAATTTTACACTAGCTAGAAGAATGGCTGCAGCTTCTATATCCCTCATCTGCCTTTTCCTGGTTTTGGGTGTTTTCCAGCAAAGTTGCCAAGGCAGCGACTCATTCGCTTGCAACCCAAAAGATGCAAGGACCAAGGACTTGCCATTTTGCCGTGTGACATTGCCCATACAAGATAGAGTGAGGGATCTTCTTGCAAGGTTGACATTGCAAGAGAAGGTTAAGCTGCTGGTGAATACTGCTCTGCCCGTCCCACGCCTTGGGATCAAAGGCTATGAATGGTGGTCCGAGGCACTTCATGGCGTCTCAAATGTCGGCCCCGGAACCAAGTTTGGTGGGGACTTCCCTGGGGCCACTAGCTTCCCTCAAGTCATCACAACCGCTGCTTCCTTCAATGCCTCTTTGTGGGAAGCCATCGGAAGGGTGAGAGATTTTTTCTTTTCGCTTTCCTCTTTCAATTTCCTAGATTCGTCCTTCTAGCCTAGCTATAAATTTAAGGCTTCAGTACTATAATTGAAGTTGGCTTTTTTTGGTGGTTCTATTCTTTCTTTTTGTTATGATAAGCATAAGAATTTTTTTAATTAGTATGCCGGTGATGTTGTCACGTGAGCTTGATATTTATGAACTTAAGTTACTTATAATATTATTAAATAAATACATGTATTATAATATAAATGAATTAGTAATATTATATATATATAATGTGACGATCGCATAAAAAAACCTAAGTAAGCAAGCATAGTTAGTTAATCTATTGGATGGAAATTTGATTAGAGTGAGTTTCACTTAATCAAATAGTTAGTATATGCATTGGTTTGTAAGTAAGCAAGGCGTTGTGAGTATTTGGTATATATGCATTGGTTTGTTATTAAAACGTTATCAAGAATTCAAAAGTGACATAAAACAAATAAATATACACTTTAATTCCGCTTCCCATAATGAAATATTGGAAAGTTACTTTAATTAAGATTTGGTTGATAAACAAGTAGAAATTAAGTTGTAAATACATGATGATTATCCTTATCTTGCTTTATGTCTACTCTCAAACTTTTTACTTTAAATGAATGAATTGGATATTATTTATTGGAGGTTGAGATATAAAAAGTGGGCCAACAAAACAAATGCTTTTATAGTTCGTAATGCCCTTTTTCAATGGGTAGCCCATCCCATATACTGCAGTACAAGAAGTTACATGCCATGCCCTCTCTCTCTCTCTCTCTCTCTCTCTCTCTCTCTCCAGCTCTCTCTCTCTCTCTCTCTCTCTCTCTGTGGTTGGGCAGCTAGCTAGCTAGTTGCTGGTGGTACTCTGAAGCTCAACTCAATGAATTTGGCTCGTGAATAATATTCCAGTGACAAATTGTAGACATGCATTTGCTAAGTATACTAATTATTAATTAATGTGCGCATGAATATAATATTATTAACATTGGGACGGTGGTGGTGGTGCAGGTAGTGTCAGACGAAGCAAGAGCCATGTACAACGGGGGTGTTGCTGGGCTTACGTTTTGGAGCCCAAATGTGAACATACTGAGAGACCCTAGGTGGGGCCGTGGACAGGAAACTCCCGGTGAAGACCCTCTAGTAGTGGGTAGATACGCTGCCAGCTACGTGAGGGGGTTACAGGGCAATGACGGTAACCGCTTGAAGGTGGCTGCTTGCTGTAAGCACTTCACGGCTTATGACCTCGATAACTGGAACGGAGTTGATCGCTTTCACTTTAACGCTAGGGTAATTGAAATTCCCTCCCTCTCAATTAACATCATACGTACGTAATTAATTCCCGTGTTTTCACCTAATTTTCTTATTAAAAAAATAAGAATAAATTAACATGGCATCATGGCATCATGGCATGGGTGGGTGGTGTAACCGTGTAGGTTAGCAAGCAGGACATGGAGGAGACATTCGATGTGCCATTTAAGATGTGCGTCAAGGAAGGAAAGGTGGCGAGTGTCATGTGTTCATACAACCAAGTGAATGGTGTCCCCACCTGCGCCGACCCTAATCTCCTCAAGAAAACTGTACGCGCTCAATGGCGCCTTGATGGGTAATTTTTTTATTTTTTTTGGGCGGCAACACACACATACACACATTTAATCAACGGATTACTTGTTGTTTTCATGCAGCTATATTGTGTCTGATTGCGACTCAGTGGGTGTATTCTATGATAGCCAACACTACACGTCAACACCTGAAGAAGCCGCTGCTGATGCCATTAAAGCAGGTGAATTAAACTTGACTAGATTAATATATCTCATCTCCTAAGTAAAAGTTAAAACTAACTAATTGGATATGCATGCAGGTTTGGATTTAGACTGTGGGCCATTCCTGGGTGTGCACTCAGAGGAAGCAGTTAAAATAGGATTGTTGAAGGAGGTTGATATCAACAATGCATTGGTGAATACAGTGACAGTCCAAATGAGACTGGGGATGTTTGATGATAATGCAGCTGCGTCGTCGTCGTCGTCCTATGCCAGATTGGGCCCCAAAGACGTATGCAGCCTAGCCCATCAGGACCTCGCCCTTGAAGCTGCCACGCAAGGCATTGTCCTTCTCAAGAACCACGGGCCCTCGCTGCCTTTCTCCACCCGCCGTCACCGCACTCTCGCTGTCATTGGCCCCAATTCTGATGCTACTCTCA